ATCTATTATTTTAGCTATTATTTTAGATACTAAAGTTTTATATAAACGTACCATCTCATTTTAAAAGTATAAAACTATTAAAATATAACGTTACTAATATGATAATGAAATTACTTGGATGAAAACAAAGTTACAAGAAGATAATGGATCTATCCCTATAGATTCATTTACCAACTCATATGTTTCGCCCTAATCCCTTGCTGTAACAACGAAAAAGATTATCTTCCTAAACTCACACCATTTAAGTGATTATCGCAAAAGAGAAAACAACACATAACAAACAACAAAAGCAAAAGTAAACTAGAATCCAAAAAATTAACTATATATATATATATATATATATATATATATATATGTATATATATATATATAAACATTTAAACATTATACACATGATATACATATCACACCAACAAACTAAACATTTTATGCATGATCATACTTTGACCAGACTGTCCGAACTTAGAATGAATGTCGAGCTATGGCGGCTTATGCATTTGTGGTGGCTTATACTACTTTGCTAAGTCATTATCAATGGGTTTCACCCTCCACTCTCACGAGGTTAGTCTGTTTCACGCCTTGGATCAAACTGGAAGCACCCAAGACTAAGACCTCCTACTACTCTCACCACATGTGTCAAACCTTTCTATTTGAGAATGTATGACCATTAGAGTGTCAAGATAACCCCCAATACTGAGCTCTCTGCATTCAGTCTAATGATACTTGAAACTACGCCACGAAGTTCCACCTTGAAACTAACTTTCATAACTTTGAAACCATTGATATCACTTTCATACCTATTTTCAATTCATATTATAAATCAATTCATACTTCACAATAACTATTATAAACCAATCATTCAAACAATCGCATATATTCAATACACCTTAAGAACTTTATAAAAACTTACTTGAAAATATGATATTTTAGCTCAATCACCAAGTTTGTTCGCTAAGTTAAAAGTGTTTGTCAGCCCACTCGCTTAGCTACCATGACCCGCTATACGAATACAGAAACAGTGAGTTTTGCTCGCTTAGCGGATACACTCGCTCAACTAGATTTCATAATTCTATAGCACAAAAATTGCAGAATTTTCACCCTTCAACCACTCATGACCTATCTTATGTTTCTTTCTCAACTTCTAACACTCCTAGATTATATTCTAAACTAAAATGGATCTAAACAAATGTGTATCATCCAACTTAAACTAGTTCTTAACTGTTTTACAACAAAATTTTAACTTAAAAACTTAAACAACTAAAACCTTACCTTATAGATCAAAATTTAATACTACAAGTTCTAGCTCATTTTTTATCAACTTAAGGACTCTAACAAGTCATAAATGACTTACCAATACTCTCAAGAATGACCATTTTGACACAGAATTTAAAATTCAAAATCTCACTAGTTCAAACCCCTAAAATATACTTAAACAACTTTGCAAATACTCCAAAATGACTACCACTCAATTCTAACACATATGTCAACTAATTTTTCTAATTTAAATATTGCATTTATAAGCTAATTATGTATTGTATCTGTTTCTAACATTGTGTAAGAAGTTTTATCTAACTCTAGGTGGAAGGATTTTATGAATGAGGAAATGAGATATTTATAAAGAGTGAGAATTTATAGATAGTTTAGTTGGAAAGAAACCAGTAGGATGTTGATGGGTGTATACTATGAAATTTAATCTAAATAGTGTAGTTAAGAGTTTTAAAGCTAAATTAGGGGTAAAGAGTTTCAATAATAAAATTAACACAATTTTAGTATTGTTATATCTATTTGTAAATATTAGTTGGTCCTTAAAACAATTTAAGGTGAAAAATATCTTCTTACACTAGGAATTATTTGATGAAGTTTATAAGCAGTTGCCAAAATGACGTGGAATCCCAAATACACGCAAAAAAAAAAAAAGGTATGCAAGTTTAAAAAAATTGTATAGACTAGAGCAATAACTAAAAGTATGATTTGGTAGATTCACTGAGACAACATTTGTTTTTGGATGTAATCACTATCATACATTGTTTCTAAAGAAAAAACAAGTAAATTTTACAACTTTTATTTTAAAAGGAATTTGATATGAAAGATCTTAGATGTTTGAAGAACTTTTTTGGAATTAAGACCTCGAGATTAATATCGACTATTCTTTTCTCTATAAAGAAATGTATGTAATGAATTTATTGAAAGAAACTTCGATGACAATTAATAAAACAATAATTTTTTTAATTGAAGGAGAATTGAAGTTGTGTATTAAAAAATATTAGACTTCAACCAACATGGAAATATGTCAAAGATTTATAGAGAGATTGACGTATCTGCCACATACTAAACCAAATTTAAGTTATGATCTTAGTTTGGTTAGTTAATTCAAACACAATTTAGGTGAAAAATATATGAACGTTATTATACAAATTTTAAGATACATAAAAGTTAATTTTAAAAAAGGAGTTTTGTTCAAGAAGAACTCTAATAATAAGAATGTGATAATTTAGTGATACAAACTAAAATCTGGATGATAAAAGATCAAATTCTCTATACTTCACTTTTGTAGAAGATAATCTAACTGTTAAACTGAACTTATAGCAATAATTGGTGAATAATGTAAATACAAAAAATTTAAATTTAGAATTTGTGTATATGAAAATTTTTAAATTCTATCTTTTGGTTAGATTGAAATTTTTCTTATTTTAAAAAATTTAATTACTTTAATAAAATTTTAATTTCTTTAAACTCTTTATCCAAGAGAAATATACTTTCACATAACATTTAAAAATCTTGAAAAAAAATAAATTTTTATTATATTTCATATTACGATGTATATGACCTTATTTTACATTTTAGATAGAGGATCTAATGTCAAAGAGCTATTTCCTTTTTTATCATCATGTCATATATAATAACAATATTTAACCATAATTTAAAGTTGGGTGACCATGTTTTTGTTTTAATTATGACTACTTTTTTATATCTTATTATTGATTTAATTAAGTTATAAATCATTTATAAACTTAACTGTTTTTTATTACATAATTATTAAATAATTTTTATTTATAAGATATTTTAAATATTTATATTTTTTAATTAATATTCGTCATTTATTTTATTTAGTTGGATAATGTATTTGTCGGTGATATTGTTTCGTATGTTAAAAAATGTGAAGACTAACATTTTATATAAAATGGTATTACAATGTGAGATGATAAGTGATTTTTATTGTTTTAATTGAAAAATATTAGATAGTATAATTGTTACCATACTCTTTTAATAACTTTTATGTTTTACAATGATCAAGAGATTTTTGTTATCATTATCACTAATATAAGTAACCACGTTGATTCCTTATTGTACAACATGTTTGCAATGAAAACAATTAAAATAATTCAACAATTTATATTAATCTTATATAATTTTATATTAAATACAAAACCTCTTACTTTTTTAATGTATGAAAACAATGCTAAAAAATATGACTGTATAACAATCACATCAATAGATTAGTGAATAAATTAAACTATAAATATTCAATTAAAAATATTAAAAATTAGGATTCTTAATATATCAAATTTTTTCAGTAAAAATTCAATTAGCAATAATTATTAAATTTATAAGAGACTTAAAACTTAATTAATTCCGATTATTTAATATTTAATATTTTTATCTTCCTTTTAAATTTAAATATATTTCTAAAAAATTAGACACTATAACTGAATTTTATATTATGAACTATAAAAAGAAAGTAAATAATGAACTATATTTCTAGATTTTTTTTTTCTTAAAAAGGAAAGTAAATAATGAACTATAAAAAGATAGTAAGATAAAAATTAAAAAAAGTAGAAACTAATAAATTCAAATGCTATATAAAGCAATAAATTTCTAATATAAAAAAGAAAAACAACATTAAGATTACGCACCAAAAATAATATACTTAAATTTGATGAAAATATTAATTAATTAATTGTTAATAGTATCTTATGAAACACACCAAAAAGTAGTACCCACGTGTACAGTAGGGAGAATGCTTGGTTCACACGCTAAGCCGGTTACCAGTCAAATATCCGCGTCAAGAAGCAGTGGGGCCCTATGGCGGTCCTCTTTTGTGGTAAATGCCATCAACATCTTGCTGCCATTCTTCGTACGCTTCGTAACTGACAGGTGCCCGTCGTCTCAAGCTGCAAATTCCAAACCCTCTCACTCTCTTCATACATACATACCTGTTCTCCAAATTCCCAACCCTATCAAGCTTTCTTTTCACACAACAACGACCTAATTATATTCTACTCACTCGCTTTTTTTATTTTATTTTCTAAGCCTTCAAATAAAACCAACAAACTTTTTCTCTTCATACATATCATTTTTCTAATCAATGTTTTCTTTTTCTCTAATACTCACACAAAAATATTAATATTCTTTGCACTGACTCATGATAAAAATATTCATTAGAGCACTAACCATAAGTTAAAATATGTAATTTTTTACCGAGTATATATATCCCATGCATTAAAAAATCGGTACTATTAACACTGTATAAAACCTTTAACCTTATTTAAATACGTGTTTTATTATTTTATGTAATTTAAAAAAAAAGTAATAAAATTAACTAATTTTCCACAGATTTTTCTCATAGATTTTGACCAGTTTTAGATATTGTCATGGACTATGAAATGTTTTGATTTGTGATAGTTACTTATAGACGAATCAAATAATAAGTTAGTCCAGTTCGATTTTATAAATTATGGTGGAAACATTGAAGAATAAAATTATTTAACAATTTTTGAAATAGTACTTCTATTTAAAGAAACATAGAATGCCTCTAATTATTATTGATTATTTAAGAAAATAGTATATTTAAAAATTGAATAATAATTTAACAGTAATTATGATGACATTGGTTAAGAAATCTCAAATTTGAATCTATGGAGAGAGTACTCTCCTAATCCCCAAACTATCCCTTTCTCTCTCTTCCTTTCTGTCTCTTTTTATATCTTTTGTAATAATAACAAGTGGTAGAATTTAGAGGCACACTTCCTTTTGAGTTCGCAGCACAAAAGCAAGATCTCCAAAAAAAAAAAATTAAAAAAAGGAAGAATATGTGCCACGCTGATATATAGCCGAAGCAATCCACGAAAATCAATGGCGGAGGAGAAAAGAGAGGAAGAAGCGCACCCCAACAACGAACCATCCACCACCATGGCATTCTCCGACGAGATTCCCAACAACTTCACTTTCCCTTCCCAACCACTCACCATCTTCGACGCCATGCCGCCGCCGCCCTTCTCTTCTTCCTGCGACCACAAGGCCTCGCCCTTCGGCTTCCTCGACCTGCTCGGCGTGCACGACTACCACGCTCCGCTATTCGATTGGCCCCCCTCCGCTGCGCCGTCGCGGGCGAGCTCCAACGTGCCGGACTCCTCCGAGGTGCTGAACACTCCCGCGTCGCCCAACCTGTCGTCGATTTCGTCGTCTTCGAATGAGGCCACCGCCACCGCCACGACCGCCAGCAGGGCGGAGCAGAGTGGTAAAGGTGGGTTTGAACACGAGGAAGCCGAAGCAGAGGAGGAAGAAGAAGGTGGTAATGGAGGCAGAGAGGACCAGGATCAAGACAAGACTAAGAAACAGTAAGTATTGGGTAAGGAAAATGACAAGTGCACAGTTGAATTCTGATTTTTTAATGTTATTTCGCTGCAATGTATAAAAATTAAACTTTTATCCGAGAACAGCTCAAGAAAGTAACACTTTCTTAAGAAAGAACTGGGTTTACGTTTTGTTGAAATGTTTAGAATGAATGAACGAAAAATGAAAAAAGAAAACAGAAAGAAGAATAGTAAGAGTGAAAAATATAATGGAATATTTAATGTTAACATAAGGTGAAAAATAGATGAAAATAGCGAAAGACGCGTGGGTATACAGTGGATTATTAATTTTTATATGCTTTTCCTTTTTTGATTATTGAGAATTTACATTTATGTTTTGTTTAATGGCTTAATGGCAAAGTAAAAAGGAAAGGGGAGGTAAAGTCCGTTTGGGGAAAGTGATGAGACAGTTTGTGACGAAGGAACTTAAAATGGGTTTGTGGTTTTATCTTTGTTAGTGTCCTCTTTTGACTCTGTTTTTCATTTGATGTATATTTTTTCCGATTTGTTATCGTTGTTGACTCTGTAATGAAAATCCAACAGGTTGAAACCGAAGAAGAAGAACCAAAAGAAGCAAAGAGAACCGAGATTTGCGTTCATGACAAAGAGCGAGGTTGATCACCTAGACGATGGTTATAAGTGGCGCAAGTACGGCCAAAAAGCTGTGAAAAACAGCCCTTATCCCAGGTAGCATATTACTGTCATTTCATTTTTTTTTTCATTTTTCAATATTCACTCGTCATATTCTCTCTCTCTATCTCTATTATATATATATATTCATCCATCGCTCTCTTTCGCTTGTCCCTAGCGAACGGTCTAGTTGACAAAATAGCACTAGAGTTTCCCACTAATTTTCCTCTTTCCATCTAAATTAATTTTTTCTTGCGGAACACGCAACCGTCGTGCCACGTCACCTTTTAGGAGCTACTACCGTTGCACCACCACCGGTTGCGGCGTAAAGAAGCGAGTCGAGCGTTCCTCCGACGACCCTTCCATCGTGGTTACCACTTACGAGGGGCAGCACACGCACCCTTGCCCTGCTTCGTCTCGGGCCAGCTTCGGGTTCGTGAACGAGCCTGGTGGGTTGGGACATTCCGGCTCCTCACACTTCGTCCTGCCACATCAACACCAACACCAACACCAACACCAAGCTTCGCCTTTGATATATAACTCCAACCCTCCTTTTGTAAACTCCGCCAGTAACTTCATGAACACGACGTCGTTTGGTGGGTTTGGTCAGGACCACGCGAACCGTCAAGGATTCGGGCATGAGGCTTTGTTGAGGGACAATGGGTTGCTTCAGGACATTATTGTGCCATCGCAGGTGAGGAAGGAGGAGAAGGATTGAGTTAAATGATAGGCTAGTTACGAATTTTGATGATGTTTATACTTATATTGGGCTGGGGAAATTGATAATACTAGATAGTCATTGCTTATATGGTCTGTAATCACTGCACCTTGACGTTGTCTGTGATGGTCTCTAACTCGTTTGGTGCTGCCGTTGGGGGAGTTTCTGTGCAGAAAACTACCTCACGTAGATTTGAGTTCATATCAAACCTTTTAGAGTTTACATTTTATATCAGTATTTTCCTTGTAGCTTATGGAGGACCTCAGGTTCTGATTTTGTTAATTTCATTTTTTTTCTTAACTTGATATGCCTATTCTTTGTAACTAGAGATTTTGTTGGATGATCAGACATTTGATTTCAGACTTTTGTTCATTAGGGTTGTTTTATGATGAGAGGAGAGAATCTGAGTTAGGGAGATGGATGATGAATGGTTGGAATTTGGTCCTTGAGTTAAGGGTATATGAGAAAAAGGGGTAAGAAAAAGAAGGTTGATAAAAACTTCGTATATGGTAAGAAGAAAGAGTGTTATAATTGGCCCATAACTTAGAAACAATGAATGCACGAGGTGTGGAAAAAGTTGGGATATTATTTTTTGAGCATAGTACCGTTTAGCTTTTCTGTACTATGGCTTTTACTATCATCATTCTTCACCCTACAAGCTTACATAAAAAGATGGAGCCATTCAATGATGATGTGCGTTTCCTGGGACGAAAATAGCTAGCGCATAAATAATTTCATATTGATAGCTAAAGATGGATAATGCAATATGTTGGTGTCAGTGCCAAAGATACACATGATTCTCATGCTCTACCACTGCCTTCAATACCTTTCCTTCATTACTGCTACTTTCTCATAATATCACAACCCAGCATACTATACTGCTACTTTCTTCATTACTCTATTTCACTATTTCCCATGACACAAAGCTAGAATTTAAGACCAAGTCATATATAGGATTTCGCTTTTTATTTTGTATGTTTTATAAGGTCTGAAAGTTGACGCAAATAACCTGATTTTTCTTTTTGCTTGATCTAACGCTGAATTTATTTTAAATAATAGTGAATATTGAGAAGTCAATTGAACAGCGATATGAAAGAAGGAAACTAAATGGAAAATTGGTTAGGTGGACTACTTAGCCTGATTTGGGTTGACTGGAATTCTACTCCATTAGCCTAAATGCCCCTGGTTTAGAATAGTTAGTTAGTTTATTGTTCTGCTCGTACTAGTAAAAAAACCAGCAAAAACTATTTCCATGAAAAAAAAATGATAGATACTATGAAAAATAATTAGCCTTCACTGTGTTTTTATTTTTTAAAACTATTTAGCTCTCATTTTCAATTGTACAATAATATTGATTTCGTGGTAATACTTGTATTATGTTAAAACAATGATAAAAGGACTATTAATAATTATTTATATGTTTATTTGACATATAAGTAGTTAATTAGTATTAGATAAGATAAGTCAGAAAGAAAATTAAAAAAAGAGAGGAATGTTTAACCCATGCAAAAAAATAAAAACATATTTAAATGAAAAATAAGTGTTTTTTGTAATAAAAGTTTAGTACGTTGTTGTAAGAAGAGTAATTAATAGGGCCGTGAATAATTGATTCTGGTTCAGCAACGGGCTTATTATAAACTTTTTGTCAGAGATTCTGTTGCACAGAATCAGTTGCCCAGAAATGGTTATACTTGGTAAACTCTTTTGCTTGGGTTGAAGAGCCACTATTGAATGATTTAATCATCGTAATATTTAATTTGATATATTTAATTATTTTCATCACTTTACGATCGATTTGACGTTGAAGCTAGATTAATGACGACAGTAATAAACAGGTTTTACTTTCTCCAATATTTGGAAATTTGGAAGTTCAATTTTATAAAATTTGAAATTAAAAATTAAAGCGTTCAAGCATTGATTGAATGTGTAGTTATTTATTTAAAAAGGAAAGAAATTAAGAAAATGGGCATGGTGAATAATAGTGGATAATAATTTAGCGCAGTAGTACTGCAGCATCCAGGCACGTACAGAGGGAAGGGAAACAATCAATAATTCATGAAAGAATGAATGAAAATAAAGAAAAAGAGGGTGTTATTTGAATTTAGGTTTTATAATTACGAAATTGTAAACTTGTTAGGAGCTTTAGGAGTATGGGAAAAAGTTAGGTTCTTGGAAGGACGAAGATATGGGTTTGAAAATTTTGCGAGTTAAAGATAAGGTTTTGGGTAAAGTTTATAAATTTATGAAAAATTTCTCTCTCTTTCCCTTTCTATTTATGGCCCATTGTTAGTAGAAAGGTATCGATTGAAAAGACAGTTGATAAATGGCAATAACTTAATAAAAGCATTGCACGTACAGTAGCCACTAGAAAGGAGGGAAGTGGTTTGGTTTGGTGTAATGCAAAATATTGAATTATGCAGTTCCATGATTGCTTCCCAATAGGCATGCAAGTTCAGTTTCTGGTACAATCAACACAACAGAAGCAGATGAAGAAGAAGAAATGTGATAGAGAAGCTTCAGAAAAAGAAAAAAGGTCATGAATATTTTTCACCCATGTGAATATTCTTATCTTCAAATCACGTAGATTTTTATTTATTTCTGACTGATGATGAATAAAAAGATGATTTAGATTTTGGGGTGTGACTTTTTCCACATTCTGAAACTTTCCAGCCATTGTAAAGTATATATAATGATCCAGAAAAGTCGCATCTTCGTGTAATTTGAATTGATGCCAATTGTGGTTTGATGCTTAAACAAAATCAAATCCAAAAAGGATAGATAGCATGTCTTGTCATTTGTTGACAATCCCAATGATTTTTTATTTGGAGGCAATGAATCCAAATTTCAGAAAGAACAGATGGTTCTCATGAAAGTGAGTCAAGTTGGTACCTGTGTTTAAAAATATTTCAGTTATATTCTAATTTCTTAAAAGATTGCCTCCATTAAGTTCTTTTTCAAAAAAATTTTTATTAATGGGTGTGAATAGAGGTTTCTTTATTTTTTTAATTTATTTTTCAATTTTTTAATTTCTTTTTAAAAAATTTCCTTATTACTTGAAAGGATATTTTCAAAAGTTATTGTCTAATGTTATTGTTTTCATTTCAATTCAATTTTTATATATGTTTTTTTGCTTAAATTTAGTTTTTATTATTTTTAAAATAAAACAATATGGTCTTTATCCAAATTCAAATAAAATTTATGATTTTTATAAATATTATATTGATATTTTTAATAAAAATAACCTTTTAATATATTATATTTTTAATATATATTACATTACGGTGTATTATTAATTTATAATTTTGGTAATCGTAACTTTAATAACTAAATTTTAATATAAATATTAATATAACATTTTAATAAATTTGATAAAAAGAAGAACAAATTTATTATTTATATAAATAATATTAATTAATTTATTCTTATAAAAAATATTTATTAGTTAATCTTTTTTTGTAAAAATTATGAATTAATAATATATTAGTTTTAAATACTTATTTTTTTTTTGTAAAAATAATTATATTTAATTAGTTTTAATCTTATAAAAAAACATATGAAATAAAAAATATGAATTAATAATATACAATAATATAATATGTTAAAAAATTATTTTTAATAAAAATATCGTTATAACATTTATATAAATAATAAATTTTGTTAGAGATAATATTACTTCATTTTGAAATTATTTATATTAAATTGAATAAAAAAACATATATATACACCTGACAATACTATCACGTGACATTGATAGTGTCATCAAGTGTTACACTACATGTGACAATAATTTTTTTTACAAAAAATTTAAAATAACATAATACGTGTGACATGTTGTTAATAATATTTTCATGTAAAATGATACTCTTCAAAAGTTAGAACATAATTAAAAAGATTTTAAAACTGGATATATCAACTTGACGTATACTCTTATCAAAGTGGAAACCATTCAAATAATTAAGTTTAAAAAAATTAAGAAAACTTTTTAAAACATATTATTAAAAAATATTTATTCTTTTTTATAAGCTAAATATTTTATTAGTATGTGAAAAGATTTGTATATGATGTAAAATCTTTAAAGCATCAAAGAATTTTTAATATATTTATTAACTTTAAGAAAAATCTTGTATGAGAAAAAGTATAATAAATGTCTTGAAGAATAATATAAAAGTGCATGCAGGTTAAAAAAAAAAAACTTAAATTGATATGGTGTTGAAATTTCGAAAACAAATTAAAAAAATTGGTTGACAAAGGAATTATTATATTTGACTATAAGTAAAATTTGTAGATGTACAATGACAACATAGACGTCAGAAGCTCAGAACTTTTGATTGGATTAATTTGACTTTTCTAGTACTTGATGGTCAGAATCCACAATCTTATTATGTTAAATCCGATTAAAATGTTCGTAATTGATTTAAAATATTAAAGATTAGGCAGTGTTAGAAAAATTATGTATATAAATTTTAATTATATCATATAAAAGTCAAAAGTTTATGCAATGTTATGGATATAACTTTGAATGTAATTATAGAGTTGAATTACTTTTTGCTAAGTCCAAGCTTGGAATGTAGGTTCCTTAGTATGTTATAATTGCAAGAAATCTTAATCATGTGAAGAAACGTAATATGTTTAACTATAATAATTAAATATATAAAACGAGGCAAATCATTAACATATTCCTGAGAGCAAGTATAGGTAATTCCTTCAACAATTTCTTTATTGTTTGCTTGCTCTGAAAGTTTAAGAACGCGTCGGACAAAAGCATGTGTTAGAAATGTGCCAAAATCTTATATACCCAACATGTGAGCATCTTGTTGAAGGAATTTAAAAGGTTATAGAAAGTTATTATGGTCAGTAGAAAACAGAAATTAGATAACGATTGCTCACTATTTTTTTTTTTCAGGAAAGAAGTTATTTTCAAAACTGAAATCTTATAAAAAGAATTATTAAAATAAAGTAATGTGAAATATTAAAGGTCTTAAAATTAATATAAGTTTTCCGTGAGAGTTTAAATCTTATATAGTTTCTATAATTTATTAGGTGATGTCGTGTTCTTATGTGTTTCGTAGCTATTTGGAAATGAAAAATGATTAATTGAAGATGTTATTGGAAACATTTGATTTGACTTAAGTAGCGTGATTGCTCATTGACTAGTGAATCACATTTATTATAGTTGACGTCGTTATTGGTATTTCTTCTAATTAATTTGGCTTTTAATTCAATGTAATAGTTGAGATGGATGAGGCGTAAAGATGGAATAGAAAGCTATTATTATCAGGATATATAAGAAGGAAGAATGCTTAGATCAATGT